CGGGAAGCGGCCACATCCTGTTGGTGGCAGAACAGCCCTTCTGGGAAGTCCACCTTGGAGTCAGACTTTCACCCAAGGCCTTGTGAGATGATGCAGATATTCATCTCCTCGTGGTCTTTATGTCTGCCTCGTGACACCTCTAGTGAGAGTTGCTGGGAGCTCTTGTCCCCACCAGGGCCACGTGCCTGGTCTGTATAGCTAGGAAGGGACCTAGAAAACTCTGGGTAGCATGTGGTAGCAACTTCACATCTCTGAATACATGCATGTGTCTCTGAGGGTGAGCAGCATCCTGGGGGCCTGTCTGCACCAGGACAGGGTCCCCAGGACCTGCTGCATGGCAACATTTGACCTACTTCTAAGGCTCTGGGTCTGGCCCAGGCCGCGTTCTCGACTCCTCCGGGAAGTGTGGGACTTCGTCCCAGCCCAGAGGCTGTGGGCCAGGAGAGGCGGGCTGGGGCGGGCCAGGGCAGCCTGCGGAGCCTGCGGCCCGGGGTACAAGGGCACGTGGGTGCCTGACCCTCATTCCCTGCCTCTGGCTCTGGGGCCCACAGGATAACCAGGCCTCCTTGCTCTCCCCCTCCCTCCACGTGTCACCATACTCTAAACTCCTCAAACTGGCTCTGATGGGACAAGGGACATTCCTGAACACTACCAGGGATGTCTGCCAAGCACCCACCACTGTTGTTGGCCAAGAGTTTATTCTTTCTCCTGCCCCACCCTTGTCCACACGGGGCAACAGGCGGGGCCATTCTGGAAAGCCACCAGCCCGGTCCTGGGTTCTGGGTCTTTTTTTTTTCTTTTGGTACCAGGAATTGAACACAGAGGTGCTGCACTGAGTCATATCATTCCAATCCTTTTCGAAAAAAAAAAAAATATTTAGAGACAGGGTCTCTCTAAGTTGCTTAGGGTCTCCTAAGTTGATGAGTCTTGCTTTGAATTTGCAATCCTCCTGCCTCAGACTCTCCAGCTGCTGGGCGTGCATGTCTAGGTTTTGTTTGGGGTTACAGTCCTAGAGTTCAAAGTTCTGGGTCCTGGATCTTGAGACCTGGATCTAGGGTCTAGGTTTAGAATCCTGGGTCCAGACTGGGCCCAGTAGTATCAGCCTGTGATCCCAATGACTTTGGAGGCTGAGGCAGGTGGAGTGTAAATTTGACACCAATCTGGGCAATTTAAGGAGACTCTGTCTCAAAATTGAAAAAAAAAAATAACTGGGGTTGTAGCTCAGTGGTAGAGTGCCACTAGACTCAATCCCCAGCACTGCAAAAAAAAAGAAAAAAAAGAAAGAAATCCTGGGGTGCTCAGAGTCTAGTCCTGGTCTCTGGATTTTGGGTTCCAAATGTAGGGTTCAGATTGTGAGGTCTGAGTCTGGGGACAGTGTTGTGGTTTCCAGGTTCCAGGTTTGGGGTTCAGGAACTAAAGAGCAGTTCCCATCCCTTCTACGCCCCCTGCTGGCCGGCCATTATGGTCAAGTTAGTTGTGTGGGGGGGTCACTCTTACTTCTTCAGGCTGTTAAGAAGTCTCAGCGGTGGATGGGAGAGTGGCATAAGGAATAAACGTGAATTGGGGTGGGCAGGAGGAGATGGCTGGAGGTCTTGGGGGCAACTGCTGTCTGCATTACTATCCTGAGGGGCTCTCTGCAGTGGCTCCTGTCAGTTGTTTGGCAGATTCCATTTCCCCTCACCCTACTGCAGAGGTAGGTTTGGGAAAGGGGTTTTTATCCCTCTCTGAGAGGTGGGTAAACTGAGAAACTTGGGACATTTGTTCAGCCAACATTGATTAAATGCCTACTGTGTATCGGATTCTGGGGATATATAGCTGTGTGTGCAAGAGAGAAGATTTCTGCTGCGACAGTTGCCACTCATGGGAGGGAGGACACATCTGGGAGATAGGAGAAGAAAAACGAGCTCATTTTAGGGTGTGCATGGATAGGGAGTCAGGAGAGAGATAGGGCAGAGGCAGCAGGCAGGCTCCTCATAGGAGTAGACATCTCCATGAGACCAGAAAGTGACAAGGAGCAGAGGCCAGAGTCCCAGGCATTTGTATGGAGAAGGGAGAGGGGAGCAGCCTGTGCAAAGTCCCTGGGGGTAGATGGGAGTGGGCTGGGAAGAACCTGGAAGGCAGCCCATGTGGCTAGGGCTCTCCTGCCTCAACACATGGGGCCCTCAGAAATCAGGGCCCACATCTTTCACTGTGTCTTTCACCTTGTCTGAGGACAGAGGGAGGTAAGTTGGCTGCCCCCAGAGAGGGATATGCATCTGACTGGGTCACAGCTCAGACATCAGAGTTTGCGGAGCTCTCTAAGCCCCTTGGGCTTTGCCAGAATCTTGCTTGCTAAGCTGATATTCCTAGAAGCTCAGTCTGGGACCTGGAAGAGAGGGGTCAGGGCCAGGCCCTCCCTGCCCACCTGCCCATTCATAATCTTGCTGCTGGCTTCTGATAACCAATCTTGCTGGAAGCAGAGAGGTCAGACTCTGGGAGGGCATTAGCAGCCCCTGCTAGGAGCCAGGCATCTGCTATTGATTTGAGTGTGGTCCTGTGGGGACGCCTGGGGCACTGTTGCTCCAGGAGTTCACAGGGGAGTCCAAGAGTCACTCAGACAGAGGCCTGGCCCAGCCTCTCTGTGAGCCCTGGTGAGGAAATGGGATTTCAGGAGCATGCCTGTCCTGTGTATAAGGAAGGGGACCAAGACACACTTTCCCTCCTACCACCCTCCTCTGGGTGGCACTACAAGGCTCTGGCTGGATAGCCTGTCCACCTGGTCTACAGACCTGGAAGCTGGGCCAGGATGCTCATGTCAATCACCCCTGTCTGAGTCAGTATTGGGTGGTTTCCAAGGGATGACAGTTGTGTGAGGATGAAAGAAATGTGCGGGGGGGGGGGAAGGGTGTCTGGGTGATCCTGTGCATATGTCTTCTCTCCTGGGCTTTGGTTTTGCCCTGATGAATGAAAGGGAATTGAGTAGTATTTTTTTGGATTTCCTGTTAGTGGCTGGGGCCACTGTGGGATGTCCAGAGTCAACTCTCCTGAGGGTGAGCAGGCACAGGCCATGGGGCCCAGGGGTCTGTCTCTGTAGCCCCCCTAAGGCTGTCTTCTCCTTTTGTGGTATTTCTGGATGTCTCTGCAGACCCTCTCCCCCCACCTCTTCTTTCTCAATAGTGTTGCCAAACATCTGGAAGAAAAGTGAAAAACTTGCCCCCCCAACCCCGGATGTTGTCAGATTTCCAGATGTGGGGTGTTCTGCCCTCCAGATGAAGGCAGGAATGTGCTCCAGCTGGGGGTGGGGGAGAGAGGGACCCAGTCCTGGACTGTTGATCCTTCATAGTAAGGCCGAGTGACAGGATGACTGGGACCCAGGCCCTGCAGGAAGATGGTGGGGTATCCCAGGTAGAGGCCCTGATGTTTCCCCCTCTCAGGCTTGAGCTACCCCCCCCCCTCCACACTTGGGAAGTCTCTTGGGGCCTGGGGGTGGGGACACTGCCTCTGAAGTTTCTATCAAAGGCTCTAGGCACTTAAAAATAACCAGGAACACCCTCTTCCTACCCCCCCAGGCACAGACACTGGGCAGGGAACAGAGCCCAATGTGTTTGCAAGATGTCCCCTCTCTCTGGAAAGGCCTTATGCCACCTCAGCCTCCCCTACCTCCCCAAATGGTGGCTCAGCCAGGGTGTGTTCTGTCACCGCCATTTGCTGAGGGCTAAGCACCAAAGGTTAGTTCCAAGGACTGGGCACTCTCGGATAAGCCTTGGGGGGGTGGGAGCTGGGAGTGGGCATGGAAGGGTAGAAATTGAGATGAGTGTCTTGGGCTGGGACAAACCCTGTCCAACATCTTGGGGTCCTTCAGAGATACAGATTCTTTACTAAAATCCTGGGCAGAGGGAACTGTGGGGCAGTGTCAGAAAACTTCCTGGAAAGGGGGTGGTGGGGCTGAGTGTTGCAAGTGCCAAACAAAGGAGGGCTAAGGGCCCCAGGCAGAGGGCATAGTGGGAACTATGATCAGGCAGGGAGCTGGGCCCTGAGGTATGCAGGGAAAGGTAGGAGACTGGGTGCTGCTCAGGGAGGGCAGTGAGAAGCCAGGGGTAAGACTTGGGAAACTGACTTCAGGGCCAGGCACAGGCACCTAGGAGGGAGACTATTGAACTGGCCTGGGGAAATGGCCCTTGAGACAGCCATTCTGTTGGCACTGGGTCTGCCTGGAGACCCTTGCACCCGTAGCCAGGGCTGCAGCTGCCTGCCATGGCCAGACACACACAGGCACAAGTAAGCACCCCGACACAAACACAGAGGCAACACCCAAACACACTCACACAGGCCCACACAGACACACATGCATACAGACACCCAGAAACAGACCCACCGAGACAGAGCACAGATACACAGACCCCCGCCTCCTGCCAGACGTACACAGTGTGCAGAGATCCCACCACACAGGGACACCCAGGTGACTCACACAGATGTGCAGAGACCCCCTGCCACACACAGACACATTAACACACATCCTGGCCTCCCCTTCCCCTACACAGAGACAGACACACTGACACAGGGGATTCCCTGCCCAGATGGGAAGTTAACTCCAGAGGTGTCCTTGGGTAACCCAGGCTTCCCGCCCCCAACAGTACTCAGCATGCACCATCCAACTTTCTACACCTGTTCAATTTATTGACCTGCTGAGGGGCAGCAGGGCCCTGGTGGTGTGCATAAGCCTGTGCTGAGCAGTGGCATCCGACTGCCCCCACTCACCCTCCCTCTCCCCAACAGGTGATTGGGAGGAATGAGAGCCCTCCCTTCCCCCCACCCTTTCTGGGCCTGAACAATGCCCTCTCCAGGCCCCAAAATAGCCCCTGAGCTGAGCCAATGTCCTTTTATGGCCCTGTCCCTATTGTGCATGGCGGGGGTGGGGCTGGGGTCATGAGGTGTCCACCGCAGGATAAAGGCCTGGGCACAGGACGCTCACCTACCCTGCTCTCTGCATTCTTCTCTCACGTCCCTCTCTGTGCTTGCAGCTCCCATGGCCCCCAAAAAGCCAGAGCCCAAGAAGGATGATGCCAAGGCAGCCCCTAAAGCAGCTGCAGCTCCCGCACCTGCACCTGCACCCGAGCCCGAGCGCCCCAAGGAGGTTGAATTCGATGCCTCCAAGATCAAGGTGGGTGTGGGTACTGGGTTGAGGTAGGAGGGGCTGAGGAGATGAGTAGGTCCCACAGTGGATCTACTCCAGGGTCAGGCCAAGCTCCGGAAGTGAGCACTGAGCGGAAGCTGGGAATGTCTATGCCGAGGTTGGACAAGCCCTGCCTGCTTCAGGTATTGGGAGGGTGACAGCAGGAGAAATGGGCGATATCATGTAGGACTTCCCTGGTGCTACTGAGAACCTGGGCACTCTAAGAATGGAGTCTGGCCTGGGGTTTGAAAGAAACACCTTTTCAGTGGTTCTAGAAGCTCCTTGGGGAACGTTGGTGCCAACTAATCCTCTTCAGCCCTCAAATCCTAGAGCCAGACGGGGGTGGGGGTCTTCCTTGTCTGGCTGGGGTGTCCCAAGTCCATGCCAAGCCTCTTAGGGTGGACGGAGTGGAGAGCGAAGGCTAGTGAGGACTCTGTCCAGGATCACCCCTATCAAGACTTCTTCTTCTTTTTTATATCTTTGTTTTATTTATTTATTTTATGTGGTACTGAGGATCGAACCCAGTGCCTCATGCATGCGAGGCAAGTGCTCGACCACTAAGCTACAACCCCAGCCCCGCTATCAAGACTTCTGAGCCCAGAGCTGATGGAGCCCTCTTGGGCCTCAGCTTGAAGGTGGGGAAATCAAGGCACAGACTGAATAAATCATGCAGGAAGCTGATTGTGGAGCTCGGATCAGTGGCCCCAGGAGCCCTTCCTGGCTGGGAAGTCTCTCCCAGAGTCTAAACTTGGAGGACGAACCATGACTCCCACCTGTGGCATCCGCATAGCAGCACGCGCGGCGTCCTGCCTGCTCTCCGTTCTTGGCTGGCCAGCAGCCACTGCTGCCCCAGCTGCCTCCTGAGGGGCCCTCCCCATTCCTGCATGTTCAGCAAGATCTGCCCTCATCTGTATAGATCCTCCTCCTGGCCATGAGCCTGCCCAGAGACACCACCCTCTGTCCCTGCAGACACAGGCTCAAACCCAAAGTCTGCTACGCCTTAGGAGATAAGCTCCTTTCCTACGCAGAGGTTTGGTTTCCTCGACTGTGAAACGGGATGATAAGCCCCCTTTTCAGGGGCTGCTGGGAGCTGTTTAGTGCACAGGCACCCCTCAGTTATCTACTGTCCCCCTGCCACCTGCAGGGCCCAGGCTTGCATCCTGCAGGCCCCCTGGTGAGGCTCTGAGCACCTGGGGACCCATGGTAAAATTGTCCAGTCTCACCAGGCTCTGAGAGGTGGTGATGATGAGGTCCCTCATGTGTCCCCCTTCTCCTCAACCCAGCTGGCCGGTGAAGGGCACAGCCTTTGCCAGGGAAACGAATTGTACCAGGTTTCCTTGTGGAGAGAGCTCTCAGGAGTGACAAATTGTTCTTTCCAACACTGAATTGAGACAAAAACCAGGAGGGACAACCATGCAGGGTGGAAGGGACAGGGTGTCCCTCGGCACTGGCATGCACTATGGAGGTTGGTGGGGCTCTGAGGGAGTGGCAGTGAGAGAGGTGCCAGTCATGTCCCCTTCCCCCAAGCTCCTTTCCCTGATGTGACCTTGACTTTGGGGAGAGTGACTGCAGTGATAAAAATAGATCTGGTATCAGGTGAGGAGGGGGACACTGGGTCCCAGGAGGCCTTCTGACCTCAGGGTGGCCTCAAAGTGGCTTCAGCAAATACTCGGCAGCACAGCCCTGGCCGCAGGCTATACTGAAGTAGGAGAGCCTCCTTGAGGCCCACAGACAGGACATGTGACACAGGTATAGGTGGGGCCCTGTGAATGACAGCACTCAGCCTTGAGGGACCCAGGGGACTCTGCAAGGAGTAGACACAGGCAGACACACACATGTGAATTCCACGTTGACACACTGTGCCTCTGGCCTGCAGCCTCACTTTTACCATTTAGTTTCCCCAAACTTCCATGTCATTCATGTTGATCGTCTTGCCCACAGGACCCCAGGCAAAGCCAGCCTGGTCAGACCTGTGGGCTTTAGGCACATTTGTCTAGAACCAGGGTATCAGGTAAGGCCCACAGTGGGCTGAGGCCTTGGGATGCTAGGAAACCCCCCTACTGTCACCCTCTAGCTATGGCCCACCAGGCATCAGGATCTGGTACCCACAGACCCAAGGCCTTCATATGGGACAGCAAGGGAGGGGTTGGGAGGTAGGTGGACATCAAGGTAGATAACAAGAGGTCTTGGGTGGTAGAGGCTAGGATGTTAGAATAGGGGAAAGCTAGAACAGAAAGGGCCTGGGGCCTGGGCTGGTCAGGAGTGACCAGGAGGAGGCCTGGCTCCACCCCATGAGCCAGGAACTGAGTCTTTGGGGCCTCTTTTCAGATCGAGTTCACGCCGGAGCAGATTGAAGGTGAGCAGGCCCTTGAGCCCAGGGCTCCCTGGTGTGAGGGTCCCGCAGTGGTGTGGGGGAGTGGGGTGGGCTCCCCTTGAAGAGCCCACAGCTCACTGCCCAATCCTGCAGAGTTCAAGGAAGCCTTCATGCTGTTTGACCGCACACCCAAGGGTGAGATGAAGATCACTTACGGGCAGTGTGGGGATGTCCTGAGGGCGCTGGGCCAGAACCCCACACAAGCCGAAGTGCTCCGTGTCCTGGGGAAGCCAAAACAAGAAGGTAGTGCACCCTGTCCAGGAGCCCCACAATGCTAGTCCCAGGGGATTCTGTAGGGTGGGTTGCCACCAGTGGGTGGGGCTGCAGTGAACCTCCCTGCCCTGCCCTGTCATTCCTCCCATCATTCAGATGAGGACGTGGTGGCTGGATGTGGGGCTGTGTTGGCAGGGCGACAAGCAGGATGGTTTCCTGGACCATCTGGCCCCATGTTGGTTGGCCAGGCATCCTGGTCACTGGGGACTGACCACCTAGGTTGCTTACTTCGTTCCCAGGAAGAATGAAACCCAGGCCTTCATCACAGGTCCAGGGAAGGCCTCTGATTGGCCCAGATGTCGCTGACCCAACACAGATAGTGGGGAGGGTGAGGTCCATAAGAAAATGACTTTAACAAAGGACAGAGCCCACTGTGATTGTGCAGGGCAGCAAACTATCCTGTGAACAGCAAAGGATGTACAAACTGCGTTTCTCAGTAGACTGTAAAGTGCCTTGTGGTGGTGACATGCTTTGTAAATGGCAAACTAGTGTAGACGCTTTGGGAACTGTGTAAAAGGTGATGGCTTCTCATTAAAAGGCACAAGGGAAGGATGTGCCCATCCCATCCCTCTAACCGGGGACTTGGGCTCATCTCTCTGCAGAACTTAATAACAAGATGATGGATTTTGAAACGTTCCTGCCCATGCTCCAGCACATATCCAAGAATAAGGACACGGGCACATATGAGGACTTCGTGGAGGGGCTGCGGGTCTTCGACAAGGAGGGCAACGGCACTGTCATGGGTGCCGAGCTCCGCCACGTGCTGGCCACTCTGGGTGAGGGCAGCTTCCCCACCTGGCTCCTTCTCCAGGGGCATCCTGAGTTTGGCATCTGCTGGGCCCACATCTCATCTGTGAAATGGAGATAGTCACACAGTCAAGGTCTCTCAGTGGCAGGTGACAGAAATGCCATTTAGGCAGGGAATATGGAATGCATGTTGGTGCCACTCACAGAACTGAAGGGAGATGGGAAGAGCTCTGGGGACAGGGCAGGGCTGGAGGTCAGCGGGGTCAACTTGGTGCTGGTGTTCAATGTTCTAAATGGCCAAGAAGGTCAAGGTCACATGTCTGCTTCCTGGGTGGACTGTGCGGGGCATCCTCTGGGGCCTCTGTGGGTCCTGTGCATCTCCACTCACCCTCAAAATCAGGTGCCTGGATGGTGGGGCCCTCCCCTTCTCCTCAGACTGACTTTTTTTCTGCAGCAAACATTTATTGAGTGCTTGCTGTGTTCAGTCCTGTGCTGTTGTCTGGGATTGTGTGTGTGTGTGTGTGTGTGTGTGTATGGGGAGGTGGAGGTGCCAGGGGAGGCTGGGGGGCAGGGAAGCTGCAGTTGGTAGAGTCGGGAAAATGCCGGACTTGTTTGTGGAGCAGTAGGTGGTGTCTTGGTCCCCTTCACAATCATCCCCCAAAGTCCAGCTCTGCCCCATGAGTCCTTCCATTAGCCTCAAGGTGTGGGGGGGAGACTGGTCTCCTCTCTTATAGAGAGAGCCCCTGTCAGCCTAGTGGGGACAGAGAATAGTATAGTATACATGGTCATTTATACACCAAGGTGCCTAGACTTGGAGAAGTCACCAGGGACCCACCCCAGGCCCTGCCCTTCTGACTTGTCACTTGTGCTCAGACCTCAAAGGTGGGGGTGGTAGCCGTGGCCTTGTGAGCAATGCTGGCTGTGGGAATTCCAGAGAGGCAGATCCACCATCCAGGGGGATTCGGTGAGTCCCCTCCTCCCCCGTCACACCTCCGGAAGATGCTAACTCAGCTTCCCGCCCTCCCAGGGGAGAGGCTGACAGAGGATGAGGTGGAGAAATTGATGGCTGGGCAAGAGGACTCCAATGGCTGCATCAACTATGAAGGTGGGCACAGCAGGGCAGCGGGTGTTCTGGGAGGGGGAGCCCAAGGACCCAGCTCCACCTGGCTGCCCAGGGCTGAGCTGTTAATCCCTTTCCCCTTTCCAGCATTTGTGAAGCATATCATGGCCAGCTGAGCCTCCCACAGGTGAGACCCCTGCTCCCTTCCACACCTCCGGCTGCCCCTCCCCACTCCAGCAACTTCCGCACTCGGTTGGCAAGTGCCACCTCCATGGGCCCCTCCTCTGTAACCTGTGGCTGCCTTTGTTGTCAGGGAGCCCAGGGAGGGCGAGCTGGGATGTCTCATCTGCCGTCGTGATGCTGACACCAGTGGCCTGGAGCTGTGGGAAGGAGGGGAGTGGACCAAGACTCCCGCACAAGCCCTCAGACCTCTCTGCGCGGTTGTCATCTCTGCCTGGGGCTGTGCTCATTGTGACTGCATTCTGTCTCCATCCAGGGCCTTATAAATAAATGACTTCCTCCTTTCCTTCTTTCTTCTTTTCCTTTCTTTTTCCCTCCCCCCTTTTCCTTCCTTTCTCCAACTTCTCCTTCCCTCGATCCCTCCTACCCTCTTTCCTCTCAGTGGACCTCTGATCGACTTGGGTCTGTTCTATGGGCCACGGACAGCGGGGTGGGCTCAGGGTTGAACTAGAGGAGTTCCAGTCTCCTTCCTTTGCTCTTGCTCTCCCACCCGCCTCTGGAGATGGCAGCCATGCTGAGGCCACTAGCCCAAGGCTGTCACTGGGAGCCTGACACTGGGAGTCTGAGAAAACAGGAATTAAAAAAATCAGGCCCAGAGCTGCCCATGTCACAGGTGGGCAAGGGAATGGCCTTGCCTGAGTCACACTGGGAATGGGTGGCAGGGTAGGGGCTCACTTTGTCCCTGGGCTGCCTGAGGGTGGTGTGGGAAGTCTGTGTGTATGTGAGTGTGTCAGGATTGAGTTTGTGTGAAGAATGTGTATACAGAGGGTGACTGTGTCACAGGAGGCTCTAACTTCCTGCTTTTATCCTCTCAGCACACCCGGAGCCTGAGGGAGAAAGCTGGGAGGTGGTTGACATAATGAGGTCATGGGGTCAGGGGTTATCTGAAAAGGTAATAGTTGGACAAAGATTAAAGGAGAGGAATTAAAAAGAAGTCCTGTAAATCAACAACAACTACAAAAACCCAAACAACCTGATTAAAAACTGAGCAAAAGGCTGGAATGACATTCCTATAAAGAAGATACATAAATGGTCAAAAAACACATGCAAAACTGCCCAGTGTTAGTAATCGTTGAGGGCAAGGTGAATCCAAACTACAAGAGAGGCAGGGCTTGGAGGGGCATATCTGTAATCCCAGTCTCTCTGGAGGCTGAGGCAGGAGAATTGCGAGTTCAAAGCCAGCCTCAGCAACTTAGTGAGGCCCTAAGCAACTCAGCAAGAACCTCTCTCTTGAGCTGGAGATGTGGCTCAAGCCGTAGCGCACTCGCCAGGCATGCCTGCAGCCCGGGTTCGATCCTCAGCACCACATACAAACAAAGATGTTTTCCGCTGAAAACTAAAAAATAAATAAATATTAAAATTCTCTCTCTCTCTCTCTCTTTAAAAAAAAAACAAAAAAGATCCTGTCTCTAAATAAAATAATGGAAAAGGGCTGGGAATGTGGCTCAGTGGTAGAGTACCTCTGGGTTCAGTCCCTGGTACCAATCCACCAACCAAGAAACAAACAAAAACTATTGGAGATGCCGCTTCCCACCCATTAGGTTGGTGGCTATAAAAACAACAATAACAACAACAGTAGAAAATTTCAAGTGTTGGTGAGGATGTGGAGAAACTGGAGCCCTTGTGCACTGTTGGTAGGAATGCAAGATGGTGCAGCAACCATGGAAGAGCATGTAGGTCCTCCGAAGGATAAAAAATAGAGTGACCATATGACACAGTAATTCCACTTCTGAGTATATACCCCAAATAATTGAAAATAGGGTCTTGAATAGGTATTTGTACACTGATGTTCATAGTAGTGTTATTCACAATAGCCAAAAGATGGAAACAACTTAATGTCTACCAGTGGATGAATAGATAAGCAAAATGTAGCATATATGTGTGATGGAATAGTATTCAGCCTTAAAGAGGAAGAATTCTGACACATGCTACAGCATGGATGGGATTTGGGTTGTCCCAGAATTTTCTTTCTGGGGATGCTGTCTGTGAGCGGAAGTCCTGAGCAGGGATTGTAGGGGTGCTCCAAGTCATCACTAGGCAAGAACCTTCAAGTTCACATCTATCTCAGATCCCAGGGCACATGTGTCCTGCTCAGTCAAGAATGCCTGCCTAACTCCAAAGATCTCCCCATCTTGCAGACTCCCCTGTTCCTGGGAGCTATCAGCTCACTCACCTTGGCTTGGTAGTGGAAGGGAGCATCCTAGAGGACCCTCGTACTCTGTGCCTTCCCCAGTCTTATATAGATGAGGAGGGGACAGGATGGATGTGACTGGTGGGGGCAGGACCAGGACAACTGTGTTTGATGAGCCCTGGCTCATGCTGTTTGGTCCCACTTTTTGAGACACAGCTCTACTTAGAATGTGTCTCTGTCCCTGCCACAGCCACATTGCCCCTCTGGGGCCCTTTACATGTTCTATGTGGCTGTACTGACCACGTGTCATTCCTAAACTTGGGTCATTGGCTGTGGGTATTTGAGCCAGGTGGACAGGGAGGCAGCTCTTCCCAGGCAGGCTCACCTGAGGTGGCACTCAGCTGCACAGGTGAGCCTCCTCCTTGCTCAGCATCCCCGAGATGCCTGACCAGGGAGATAACGTGCATTTCTGTGTTCTTGGGTGTCTGCATGTGCCCATCTACAAGCATGCATGTGTGTCCGTGACTGTGAATGAGCTTGTGTTCACACTTTGTACGTGTGTGTGTCTGTGAGTGTGTAGGTGCACTTGTGCCCATTTGTCTGTGCATCTGTACCTGTGTGTTTGCCGCTGTGTGTGCATGAGTGAGCGTGTCTGTGGGTCTGCGGGCTTGTCTAAGTGTGTCCGTGCTGGGGGTCTCTGCTGAGTCAGCCCTGGTGCTGGGCGGGCGGCACTGCCAGCCAGGCTGTGGCCTCCCCACAGTTGCATAAACACAGGTCCCAGCTCCCCCCTCAAGCAGGGTGGTCCAGCCTGTGGCCCTGCTGCTGGTGGAACGCGATAGGAAGGGGTAAAGGGTTTGTCCTCCCAGCGTGGTCCCCTGCAGGGCTGTCCCCTCCAGGGCTCAAGTGCCAGGTCATATGCCCCATGAGCCTGAGGTCTGATCTGAGGTCTCTGCCTCACTTTGCTCATCTGGCCTGGACCTAATCTCTGAGCTCGCTCTATGGTGGCGGGAATAGCCGCCTGCCTCTCCAATCCTTAGGAGGCTGAGGGCGATGGACTGAGGGCAGAGTTAAGCCTCAGAACCCCAGACAGGGTTCCACAGTCCCTCTGACATTGCAGAACCTTAGAAGGTCCAGTGACATCGTGGGGAACAGATATTGCAGTAGATCCTCAGAACGGTTTTTAGGGCAGAGGTTTGGGGTCTGGAACTTAAACTCAAAAGACAAAAATATTGTGGGAGCTGGGCCCTGTGACAGATCCAGAACAAATCATTCCTCTGCTGCTCTGATGTCCTGTATGGCCACCCATCGCTCTTGGCAGCCTTCCAACATCCTGTGTTCTTCCAGACACCATCTCCAGGGACTCTGAGGTCACCAGGGGGACATGGATTAGATCGTATGGACGGGGGTGGTATAGGAAAGCCAGAAACTCAGGCTGAAACAGAATAAAATCTGGTGGGGTCTTGAAGTAGTTGGACATTGGATAAAAAATTTTTTACTAGGTTTCAAGAAAGAAAAAAAAAAATCAGACTGCAGGTGTGAGAAATTGGACTATAGGACCCAAAGCACTCGGCAGCAGAGGGGCTGACAGAAAGCTGAAGGCCTTAAATGAGATCAGGGTGTGGAGGAAAAGGGTCCAGACAGAGGAATGTATGAAACTGGGGAGGGGGGAAGAGGGGCCCAAGGAATTTGATACACAGCCCCTCGTGCTGCAGACATTAGGGGGTGCTTGGGGGCACATCTGTTGTGCTGTACTGTTGATCCTGAGGCCTTGGGTGGTGGCGGGGAACGTGGGGAGGGGTAAGGATGAGCCTGCCTGGGAAGAGAGTCACGACCCTCAGGAATGCTGACCCAGTCACCTCAGAGAATAGTAGGAGAACCAGGCCTTGAACCCATGACCCGGCACAGAAGTGGCTCCCTAGGCTTCTCCTAAGTCCCTTCCAACCAGCCCCAGTTCCGCCCTCTCCCAAATTTGGGGGTTATTTGTTCTCCGCCCTCCCAAAGCCACACAATCCTGGTTTGCCCAAACGCTGACGGAGCACTACTGGAATGTGGAGTGTGTGTGTCTGTGCACACAGGGTTCCCCCAGGCCCGACCGCCCAGCAGGCCCCCCTCCAGTCTTAGCATCCAGGGCCCAGGGCCTCCCTCTTGGACAGAGAAGGGCCTGGAATGTCACACAGGCCCCCTGCCTGCCCCCTCCTCCCCAGCCTGGCTGGGGGAGTCCGAGGTTCCACCCTGTCTTTCAAACTCTCTCCTTCTCTGGTCTACAGGTCTAGGTACCTCACATATCTACTTAGACCTCTCTGAGAATGGGTGAGTTGGTCCCTTTCTGGAGGGCGGGTGGGGCTGGGGGGGCAGCTGGAAACTGGGATCCAGAGAAGGCAGAGATGGTGTCTCCTGGGAAAGCTCAGCTCTGGTCAACTTCTTGATCTTCATACCTTCGTGCAGCTGAACACAAGTGCCCGCCTTTGCTCATTACTCCTGTGCCCTGGCTCTGAAACTTCCCCTTAGTTCCTCTGCCATGTCACCCCAATCCTTGTCTCTTTCCCTCTGTCCCATGAAAGGCTCAGAAGCTCTTTAAAGGTGCTCCAGAATGACATCCCCACCCATGTCCTAAACCAGCGGGAAGAAGTTGTGAGCACCTTGTCTGGAGGGGGGTTGTGCAGGGAGAGAGTCCACTCCCATCCAGAAAGGCTGCAGAAGGGGTTCTTGGCTCTGGTGGAAAATGGAAGCACTTGGTGTCCCCCAGCTTCAGGGTCCAACCTATCGCAATACCTGAGAAAGTTTTCATGAGAGAAAAAAGTCGTATGCTGTGTGTTTTCCAGGAAGCTCAGTTTTATGTATCAAGGCCTGTCTTTCTTCCAAGATCATATACTACCTCCCTGCACTTTTTTTTTTTGTCTCAAGAATATCCTTTTGTTAACAAAACAATGATGATGGTAGCTGGCAGCTACTGTTTTCTAAGTCTTTACTTGGCAAAACAAAACCTTACAAGTCAGTCTTTACATTTTGAGGAAATTCGATAGAGACCCTCAACTGGGGCAGATCCATTTTAGGGCCAAAGTGGAATCAATCTACCTACCCACCATCCATCCATCTCTCCATCCATCCATCCATCCATCCATCCATCCATCCATCCATCCTCCATCGATAATGTA